GTGGCTGGCGCCTTAGCTACTTGAGCCACAGGTGCCAAGCCCATAGCACCTCTTGTATACACTCATCCATAATAAATAAGGAACAAATGTTTACGAAGTAGTGGTCACTCTGGCATTATTTGATAGTAAAAAATCTGAATGCTCAGGAAAAGGAATAATTACATAAATTTCTAAACATGTATATGATAAATTACGCAACCATTGAACATATATTTTAAAATGGGAAAAATGCTTATATAAAAATAGAAAAGTCAGGATATAAGACTACAAAGAGCACAATCTTAATCTGATTAAAAAATAGATGTATACATCAAAAGTACTGTAAGAAAACATCAAGATTTGACACAAATTACCTCCGTACCTGAAAAATGCTAAATATTTACTGAATAAATGAATTAAATTTTAGAGACTTTTGTCTCTTTGGTAAATTTCTACATTTTCTAAATTGTCAAAATAATGTAATTTTTATGATCAGGAAAAATATTATAAACGTCGATCATGAACCATGGCAAACAGAAAATTTAGTCATCATTTCAACTCAGTTAATGGCTTAAACAAAAATACATACGCAATCAAACACCCTTTTTTTTTTTTTTTTTGAGACAGAGTCTCATGCTGTCGCCCTGGGCAGAGTGCTGTAGCATCATCACAGCCCATAGCAACCTCAAGATCTTGGGCTTAAGCGATTCTCTTGCCTCAGCCTCCCAAGTAGCTGGGACCACAGGCGCCACCACAATGCCTGGCTATTTTGTTTTGGTTGCAGTTGTCATTATCGTTTGTAAGGCCTAGGCTGGATTTGAATCTGCCAGCTCTGGTGTATGTGGCTGGCACCCTAGCCGCTGAGCTACAGGTGCCAAGCCCAAATATCTTTTCAGTAGTTCCACTTAATCATGATTTATTTGGTTAAACCCCTCAGAGGGAAAGTAGGCTCTATTTACACAGTTCTCTCCTGTTGACGTCTGACTTGCAAATAAGCAGACCAGGACCATCCTTAAATAAATCTGCATATTTATAGAGAAGGCATTCCGATACCATGCATTTTCAAGGCATCCCCGCACCCCTACCCATAAGGTAGTAAACATCAAATTTTCTCCTACTTTTAAATAGTTATGTGTAGCACATTATCAGAAACAACAATGAAAGATACATTCAACATTAAAGTGCAACTTTACCTGCTCTATCTCGCTGTTACTTTCTTCACTTGCAGCTTCAACTGAGTTAGAGTCAGGTTCAGAATGAGAGAATCCATTCTTCAGTTCAGGGGTCTTCGCTACTATTTCTCCATTTACTTCCTTTTCTTTCTTCATCCGCTTGGGCTTAGGAGCATCATCTACTTCAGAAGGCTCCTCACTTCTTACATTTTTTATTTTAGGAGAAACAACTTTCTTCTCCAAGGGTTCCTTTTTCTTTTTCACACTTTTGGTTTTAGGAGAAACAATGTCATCTTGAGACTGCTCCTCTTTCTTTTTTGCCTTTTTGGATTTAGGAGAATTTATGTCAACTTCAGAAGTACTTGCTTTCTTTTTAACTTGTTTAGCTTTGGGGGAAATAGTTTCTTCCTCTTCTGCTGCCTCTTCGGTCTTACTCGATTTTGGTTTCTCTCTTCTCTCTTTCTAAAAAAATTAATAAAGAGACTACAACCCCTAAACAAGGCATTTATATATTTGTGCAATTCATCAATTCTAGACTATTTCAAGTTCACTGTCAATTACGAAGAACATTATGTTTGGGCATTTCAATATTTCTACTTGCAACTATGTGATGAAGTAAAATCAAAAAATATGTTTTTTAGTACCATTTCTTAGCTATACAGATAAGTATATATCAACAGTTTCATTAGTTTGAAAAAAATCACAAGTGCCTCTTGGAAACTACTGAATTCATGCTAGTTGACAACTATAAAACCAGACAAACTATAAAACTTAAGATTTTCCTAAGGGACTTGGAGTAGCTCATTAGATACTCAAATATTCCCTATACAAAATACTACAGAAAGTGACCAAGTCCAAATTTAATTCTGCTAGAGTAATAAAGCCATTTATGTCGACAGGCAAATGATGTTAAACAGATTTCTCTCTCTCTGCTAAAATTCCAATTAAATAGGAATTCATAATGTCTATGCCTTAACTATCTCACATGAGCAAATGGGCATACATAAAGATACCGTATGAAACTAAAAGCTATAAAAATTCACAATCTATCATCCCACATACAAAAAAAAAAAGATTCCAAATTTACAGTAAAACAAAATAAATGTACAAGTTACAAGAATATGGAAAGGGGGCGGCGCCTGTGGCTCAGTGAGTAGGGCGCCAGCCCCATATACTAAGGGTGACGGGTTCTAAATCAGCCCCGGCCAAACAGCAACAAAAAAATAGCCGGGGATTCTGACGGGCGCTTGTAGTTCCAGTTACTCTGGAGGTTGAGGCAAGAGAATCGCCTAAGCCCAAGAGCTGGAAGTTGCTGTGAGCAGTGACGCCACAGCACTCTACCGAGGTCGACAAAATGAGACTCTGTCTCTACAAAAAAAAAAAAAAAAAAAGGAATTGAATCACGTCATCGTCCAAGAGCAGTTTACCAGATATAAACTATACTTCCCTTACTAAAGGGAAAAAGGACATCACTGCATCACTGCACACGCCGCCCACGTGGGCAGATGGGGTTAAGTTCTCGCTACTCTAAAACTTCAGTCCCTACTTTGATTTATACTTCCTTTCGCACATCCTCACGCTGAGAGTTAAATCTGATTCAACTGCGTGGAGTCTAAGCACACAGGGTGCTGGGCGCCCAGTTGCCAGGGACCAAGTGGGAAACGGGCCCTCTCCCTAGTCCTATCGAACCTCTCGGCCGAGCTCCCCGGACTCGTGGCTGAGTGAAAGCCGAGTAGAAGGGGTCGGCGCGCGGCGGCCTTCGCTCGGTCGGGCCGGCAGAGCGCCCCCCGGCCCGGGGTGAGCACCACTCCTGGGAGTCGCTCGCCGAGACCCACGCCTGGGCTCCCCGCACATGCTGCGTGTCGCCGCACGCCACATGTCCCCAGCCTGGGCACTTTTTCCATCCCCCAGGATCCCGTTCTTCTCAGCGCCCCGACCCTGGCCAGGCCCTGCCCAGGTCTTTTAGTATCACCTTCTGAGCTTGCTTTCGCAGCATCTCCACTTTTTTCACGGTTGCGTCTGATTCCAAATCGGCGTCGCCAAGGAGTCTTCCCGGCATTATTCAGCACCTGCTACCCAAGCCGACCCTTCGTCCCAACCGCGTGGAGAGGAAAAGACAGCGCCGCCCCGCAAGTCCACCCACCTCCCGTCACTTCCTGTAGCAACGCATTTCCGGCGGAAGCAGGAAGCCCGAGGCTGGTTGAGCGCCACTTGGTGAATTCAAAATCAGGCTGCCGACTGCGGTTGGCTTTAGTGAACTGAGCCCTTACGGCCCTTGGACGCTAAAAAGCACCTACAAAAGGACAGAGCTAGAAGAAACCACGAAGGTTAGCTTGATATTCTCAAACACTAGCAAGATTCTCTCTAGATCCAGCCTGATAAATGAAAGCTTCTATTTGCTTTTAAGTGGCCCTCGTCCGTGTTTTATAAATTGCTTGAGTCTGTAGGATCCTTCCTTTCACGTACTGCCGCGCCGGATACGTGTTCTTACCTTGTGGAAACGTCGACTCCAAAAGGTAACCGCCAAACTCACGAGCCTAAAGAAGAACCAGATTTCTGTCGGGTCTGTCAGTTCATGCATGTGTGCATTCACTAGACATCTTAGCGTTCACTGTGTCAAGTGTGAGAAACGTGGCTAGGATTCGCTAGCAGACAAGCCTTGTCCTCAAGAAGCTGTGTAGACTGGTGTTGGTTGTTTTTAAGGCATAGAGGAGAGGCACCCAAATCAAGTAGATCCTAATTAGAAATTCACAGGGGTTCTTACTCATCCATAATTTGGACAACATACTACTTCAAGCAGTTAAAGGTCCATTGAATAAGTGACAATATTGCTAAGCTTTTCCTGAAGAACTAGTGATCCAAAGAATTAGACAATTTATCATAGTATTAATAGATTAAAAATAGATTAGAATCATGTCTGGTTTTGAAAATATGCCTTTGGCTCTGCGCCTGTAGCTCAAGCAGCTAAGGTGCCAGCCACATACACCTGAGCTGGCGGGTTCGAATCCAGCCCAGGCCTGCCCAACAACAATGACAACTACAACCAAAAAAAGAAAAACATAGTGGGGCATTGTGGCAGGAGCCTGTAGTCCCAGCTACTTGGGAGGTTGAGGCAAGAGAATCGCTTAAGCCCAGGAGTTTGCTGTGAGCTGAGATGCCATGGCACTCTACCCAGGGCGACAGCTTGAGGCTGTCTCAAAAAAAAAAAAAAAAAAAATCTGCCTTTACCACTATTGCTGTTATTTCAGACACGTTGAGTCTGTAGGATCCTTCCTTTCACATATTGCGGCGCCAGATACGTGTTAATCTGAACCAGAGTTTCTCCTGAATGAAATGGGGATAACAAAACCTTGTGCAAGGCATAGTGGCTTTTCCCTGTGACCCCAGCTACTTGGGAGACTGAGGTAGGAGGACTGCTTGAGGCTAGGAGTTTGAGACCAGAAATGTGGTTGTTCCTGTCTCTAAATAAAATAAAATTTGAAAAATTATCTGGATGCAGAAGTACAAGCCTATAGTCTAGCTACTGGAGAGGATGAGATGGAGGATCCCTTCAGCCTAGAAATTTGATGATTGTGCCATTGGACTCCAGCCTAGGCAACAGACAGAATAAGACCCTGTCTCTTTAAAATAAAATAAATCTATTTCATTGGCTGAGGAAAATAAGCTAATGAATGAAAAGATTTGACATTGCCTGGTACATACAGCACAATAAATGAAAGCCACTAAAACTCATAGGTATGTCACAAATGTTTGGAAAGAGGATTCAAAGTATTAGATTTATTATTTATTTATTTATAAATAAATAACAGAATCTTACTGTCATCCTGGGTAGAGTGGCGCCTACAGCACTTACAGCAACATAGCTTATAGCAACCTCAAACTCTTAGGCTTGAGCAGTGGTTTTGCTTCAGCCTCCTGAGTAGCTGGGACTTCTGGTGCCCACCATAACACCCAGCTAGTTTTTCTATTTTTAGTAGAGACCTGGTCTCAGTCTTGCTCAGGTTGGTCTCAAACTCCTGAAATCAAAGCAATCCACCTGCCTTGGCTTCCTAGAGAGCTAGGTTTACAGGCATAAGCCACTGCACCCGGCCAAAGTATTACATTTTATGACAAAGGAAAATGTTGGAAGTTTTATTTCTGTATTTCATGAGATTAATTTTTTTTAATCTCAGTATTAAGGAAAAATTTTGTTTCATGTAAACTATTCTATGTTTCACATCTCAATTTTAACAATTTGTGTAAACATGCAACAATGGTTTAACTTACACTCTGGTAACCTTGAGCCAGGATCCTTGATTTATCCATCTTTGTGTCTTCAAAATTTCAGACAGTGCCTGGCACATAATAATCTGTCATTAAATGTTTATTGAACATTAACGTGACTGTGGTGTAGGGAAACCCTTTGAAATAAATTTTAGCTATATGCCTAGGTAGGAAAACATTTCAGTTATCCTGGTATTAGACGTAAAAGATGGGAAAAACAAGAATGAATGCAGTCAACCAATTGACCAACAAAATGTTTAACATCTTTGTACCAAGGACTTTGGAGTGAGGACATAAGTAAAGACCTAGTACTTGCTTCAAGGAACCTGCACTTTGGTTGATAAACCACAAAACTATGTAATGCTGTACATGATACTGTTGTATACAGTACAGGGATGTGTTTATTACCAACAGATGTTCAACAAGATAGCAACCCCCAGAACACCACTAAATGGAAAACTGTTCAAAGCTTGTATTTCCTTTGTAACATACCTGCACGTAAATACAAACCCAAAATTCTAAAAGGAAACATGCAAAAGGCTCTCTGACCACAAGTGGCCAAATTATTATATTGAATCTAGTCATCACTATAAAATTCACTAACAAGTAGAATTGTATATATATTTGATAGGAAATGTGAAGTTCTGTTTGAATATCAATTATGCCAAATCAATTTCCTCTGATCTAGATGATATATGTTTTAATAAAATTAGGGAGAGACTTTCTACTTTTAAAAGTATGTATACATGCCCATACACACTGAATTCAAAAGTCTACACAAGAAAACAGTAGTAGTTATCTGTGAGTTATGTGATTTATGGGGATTTCTTATTTTCTTCCGTCTACTTCTTTTTTTTAGCTTTTCAACAATGGGCACGTGTACTCATAAAAAAAATATGAAATATGGTTTGTTTGTTTTTTTTTGAGACAGAGCCTCAAGCTCTCCTGGGTAGAGAGCTATGGCATCACAGCCTCCAACTCCTGGGCTCAAGCGAGTCTCCTGCCTCAGCCTCCCAAGTAGCTGGGACCACAGGCGCCCACCACAACACCAGGCTATTTTTTGGTTGCAGCCGTCGTTGTTTAGCAGCCTGGGCTGGATTCGAACCCGCCACCTTAGGTGTATGTGGCTGGCGCCTTAGCTGCTTGAGCCACAGGCGCTGGGCCTGAATATGGTTTTTAAAAAACTACTGTAAAGCACTATCCCCACAAAAATAGGAAACAAAATGTAAGAGAAAGCTCTGGACAGTCACACCTAAATGTTGAATTCATTATTCAAACTTAAAATGCTTAAGAGAATAAAACAGATGCTAGTTCACTTATACATTCAAAAACCAAAGATCAGTGTAACTAATTCAAGTTCAAACAGCTGTTAAGTGACCAACTAGAGCACACAATACCAAATAGGAGGCCAGAAGCCCAAAATGTAGGGGAATGAAGGTGCTGCATACTAAAAGGAAAGAGCAAAGGTACTTATGGCTGAGTGCAGCCCAAAGCTGAGATTACTATTCTAATTTACCTACACATTTTTTTTCACTCATTCCTGAACCCTTTCAATGGCTATCCAAAATAAGGCCTCCAAGATATGACTCTTACCTTTCTCTCACCATTGCTTTCCTTACAGTGATGATCCCAGCTATAACTGCTACTTATAATGGTTCCACATACTCAGACCATGTTGTTTTATCAGCTCTTCTGTACTTTTACTTGGCTGCCCATTGCCCCTAATGTTTCTTTTACCTGACTTAAAATGCTCAATCATCAGATCTAAAAAGCTTTCTCTGAACCCCCAATTCAATTCCTGACTTGGGTGACATTGTTTAGTCCACAAATCACTGCATTTAGTCATTGCTGTGGGCCTAGGTTTATGTGTCCATTTGTTTCAATAGGTTATTATTATTATTATTTTTGAGACAGAACCTCAAGCTGTCACCCTGGGTAGAGTACCATGGCATCACAGCTCACAGCAACCTCCAATTCCTGGGCTCAAGCCATTCTCCTGCTTCCGCCTCCCTAGTAGGTGGGATTATAGGCACCTGCCACAACGCCTGGCTATTTTTTGTTTGCAGCCGTCGTCGTTTGGCAGGCCCAGGCTGGAGGATTTGAACCCACCTGCTCACGTGTATATGGCTGGTGCCTTAGCCACTTGAGCCATAGGCGCCAAGCCTGTTTCACTAGATTCTGATCTCCTTAGTGCAGAGACTGGACAGGCACACAACTGGAAATTTTAGGCTTAGATAGAAGTACATCTCTTAATATTTTGTCAGGAGAAAAGTATAATTATCTCCTAGTATTAAGGTTAAAAAGTTTGAGACTGAACTTGTAGTGGCTACAATTAGAGCAACTAAGTGATTTTTCTATGGCAACATTTAGCATTCTGTTGTAGGAATGGAGTTTATGTTTATTCTCCCAAAGCATACTGCCTTACACAAATGCAGAGCCAACTGAGATTTCCCACCAAGTCATGGCTGTCTGAACCACTTTTCCATAATCAAAACTTCTCCCTCCTCAATCCAGCACTGAGAATCTTTTCCTTGGTTTAGCTGAAATCTGGGTCTTTCTGAAAAACATACCCTTCGAGTTTTCTCATGAAGATGTTCACATTTATATATCTCAGTTGGCATCAGTGTCCGCTTTTCCTTAAACCCATTTCCAAACCATTACTCCTTCACTTTTTTTTTTTTTTTTGAGATAGGAATCTCAAGCTGTCACCCTGGGTAGAGTGCCATGGTGTCATACCTCACAGCAACAGCCAATCTGGGCTCAAGTGATCCTCTTGCCTCAGTTTTTCTATATTTAGTAGAGATGGGGTCTTGCTTTTGCTCAGGCTGGTCTTGAACTGGTGAGCTCAAGCAATCTATCC